GTCGTCGTCGTCGTCGTCGTCTTCGTCGTCGTGCAGCTTGCGGGCGAAATGAAGGCGAGGTTCTCACCAATGCGACTCCGCGCGCATGAGGTTGCCGCTAGATGGGAGGGGGTTCGGAGGTCCTTTGTGCGTAGCATGGCGTCGCTTTTATGCGGATCGTCCTGCTGTATCTGCAAGCACAGCTTGCCTACCGGTAGGTAGCTGGTCGATGTACGGAGCGATAATTTCGGAGCACGGCATCCTCGCGCCTCCTCGTCAGTGTCACCGGCGTGAGGCAGCGCAAACCGCGGCCAAGCCGACGGGAGCATGTGGAGCGAGGCAGTGGCAGGTGGGCGTTGCAATGAGTGAGGGCCGCGGGAGGTGGTGCGGCGACGGCTGCGCATGAGCTTCCGCGGTCCGAGCGCGAGCCACCGCGAGCCACTCAGCCCGTCTCATTACTGCCTCGAATCTGGCGCCCACCACATCGCGACGCGACCATTCGAGCTTGAGTGGCGGGCGGCTCGCCTTGCCTGCGCCAGTCGGTTTCATTTTCCTTCCGGAACAGCTGGTCCAAGCTCCGGATGGTCTCCGATGAGTCACTCCGTCGTCTGGTCGAGGTTGGCCGAGCCGATGTGATCGGCAGGGGCCGACTGTGGTGAAGAGCCGGACAATGCCAGCACGCAAGATGACACAGCTTTGCGACGTCGACTCAGCTGAGGGGGCGGATGTTGTGATGTGGCCAGTGGAGCCGAGCGCTGCAGCTGCAATTTAGGGTTTCAGGCTTGGCCGCCGACAGCCTCAGACAGCCTCCGATGCTCCGCTGCGGCTTCGGAAGCTCCCTCCGCGCCCTCGTTCCGACATGGCGATAGAATGACTGTGAGTTGCCAGGCAGCGCAACGGTCTGCATGCGCACCGTGCGCAGTTGCATGCGCTTTACTCAGACGGCGTGAGCGCAGAGGGCAATGGCCGCCTGGGCAGTTGAACTGGCCAGCTCGACACGGGCCCCGTCTTCTTCTCACGGACCTTTCGGGCCCGCAGATCACTCAGCATCGACCGTTTGTGGCCGAGCGGAAGTGCCCTTCTTCGCCTAATCACAAAGGCCTGGCTCGGCGCGATCGATGTGACAAGCGTGGCCGCCCCGCAAGAAAGGGTCTACGGAATGTCCGACACGCTGATACAGGCTCGACATCACTCGAAGCGGATCTTGTAGCTTTGGCAGCCGTGTTGGAACGGAGGAGCGTGGAATTGGATTGCGGTTTCGAGGCATGTAAGGGCCCGCATCTGGCAAGTCACTGCGTACAGATGCAGGTGGGCAGGCCGCGCCAGTCGGTTCATGTCGCCTTTGCTTTGCAGGCTCGACGCAGGGGTCGTCGTCTTGTCCTTGCTCGTGATCGTCCTTTGCGAGGCGAATGTGCTTGAGACCAGTACGAGGATGCGGATGCGGGCGTTCGTGGCAGTCGTCACTTCGAATACGAGCAATTTGCTCGACGTGCGAAAACGTGGGCGACGTGGGTCGCTGCACTTGCATCACGGCGCCCAAGACGCTACCTGTGATGACGATGTGCTCGCTGAAGGCGCGGACGAGGGCAAGGCGGCTATTCCTAGTAGAGGTGTCGCCGAGCAGCGCCACACTCGGCCGATCCTCCGATCCTCCGAGCCGGGTATCTTGCCCGTGTGCTCGACGCTCTTTCCACCGACAATGCAGACTCTGGCTCTGCATCAGCTCGAGGCCGATGCCGCGTTCCGCGACCAGCGCTACCCTGTCGGAATGGCCGACCGTCTAACTGCGGCAGATGGGTCGGTGCGGTAGTGAGCGACTTGGTGCAGATCGGTGAGTCGAATGCGAGCAGGCGGAGCACGACCGCCGAGCCGTCCAAGGTGAAGCTGGCATCCCAGGTCGGCGGCGTCGGAAGCAATTGCCTTCTCTTCCGAGCTCCCGTGGCGAGGGAAGAGCGCTTCCAGACCATCGAGCCAGAGAGAATGGCGTAAATTGTCGAGAGGTCCGGGCATCGACTGAGCCCCAACACGGACAGCACTGAGTCAGCTTGGGTGTTCTCGGCCTAGCGAGGCGTGCTGAGTTCGGGGCGGAGCTTGAGGGATAGTCATCACCGGCTTCGCCGAGCCCGTCCGTGTTCCGAGCTGGGCCCGCCTAAATATGCGCTTGCCGTTGCTCTCGATGCGTTATGTCAATGGCCCTGCCGCGGATGGCGATAGCCGGACGAGCAATCTCGCCCGATGGGGTCATTGGCAGCATCTATGGCCGGCGATCGTATCCGTCGTCCTCGATGTCATTGTATTTGGACGTGCCGAGGTTGCCGCTTGAAGTGGGAGGATAAGCCGCGTGGTGGTCGTATGGTTGGTGCGGGGCGTCGAGGTCGTCGTAGAGGTCGTGCTCGGCGGCGTTGATGTCGAACGCCTCGGCCTCGTCGTCGCGCATCCTGCCATAAGCGCTGCGACTGCCGCCGGAGGCACCCATTCCGCCTCCGAACGAGGCCGATCCAACGCTGCGACTGCGCGAGAAGAGGCCCCGGATGCGATCAGCGAGCGCCTCGCGGGCGTGATCGCCGAGACACGACGAGAGTGCAAACCAGCCGATCGCCAACGCTACACCCACTCCGAGGATGATCCATAGCGGTAGCAGCGATGACGACTCGTCGCCAGATGCTCTTCGGCTGAGTTGGGCACTCAGTGCGATACTCGACGGCATATTGAAGGAGCGTTTGAGAGCGATGCCGAAGCTCGTCGTGATCCGGTCAGAGAGGGTTGATGGTGGTTAAGAGGTCCACGTACGCTGACAAGACTGCTGGCGATTGTATGCGCTGACTGCAGTTCAAACGTGTGGGAGGGTGGTCTGTGAAGCTGCGAGAAGCTGGCATGAGGCTGCCGGAAGCGGCCTGCCACCTACTTGAGCAGATGCCAAAACGGTTCGGCATGCCGAACGGACCCTCTGCGGTTTGATGAAGCCAAGAAAAAGCGAGCTCGAATCCGGATAATGTTAGGCTACGTCTCTAACAATGGTGGCGAAGGAGTTGGCGGCATCAGCGGACCGCCTTGTGTCGGCAAAGCCGAGATTTCGTGAGGATGAGTCGGATCCACCGAACGGATGGTGGAATCTTCGCAAGATTTTCCACGTTCAGCGCCGCGCGCTCTTCGGATTTGATCAGACCCCTCTCCTCTCCACATGACGATTTTATCGGCTCGCTCCATTGCCTCCGGCCAGCCGACCATCCAACGTAACCTCCGACGCCTTCGGCACGACCATCTACTCTCTTTGTCTCCAGGCACAGAATTTGGCGCTCACACACAGAGCGGAGACAGCTTCGGTGGCCGCCTACACCCTTTCGACTCCAAACTGAACCTGCGACCTCACATCGACATGGCAAGGCACTGGGCACTGATCTAGACGATTCGTACGGCTTCTTCCCTTTCGCATCGCTCGTTGCAGCTGTTAAGATACAGCCCAGCTGCGAGGATGTCGGACACCCGGTCCGTCGAAGCAGGTTCATCGAGGTCCAGGCTCACACAGCCGAGCGATCGCAGCCAGATCATAGCTGCGGGTAGCGATGTGGCAAATGGCAGCCTCGTTGACCAGGCTGCTCCGAAGGCAGCCGCATCGTCATCCGGAGCGACTGCCTCCTTCTTTCCAACACCTGCGCTTGATCATGCATTTGCTGGCATCGCAGCAGGTGCTGTGGCGACCATCTGCATGAATCCGCTCGATCTGATCAAGACAAAATACCAGGTGGACACCTCTCGTCCGCGCCCGCTCGGATTCCGACCCCGTGCTGGTGCACCGCTCTATTCCCAAGCGGCATCTTTGGCCGCTGATCGATCGGCTGGTTCAAACACGAACTCATTGGCGGCGGATCTCAAGGGCAAAGCCCGCGCCAGCGACCTCAGCTCGACAGCGCAATCCCAGATGGCACGCGCCGCGCCCCGTCGTGGATGGAGGTACTATGCGCTGGGCGGCCAGGTTGGCAACGACATGATCGGCGCGCTCAACGACATTGTCAAAGCTGATGGCTGGAAGGGGTTGTACCGCGGGCTCAGTCCCAACGTAGCGGGTAACTCGGCGTCGTGGGGATTGTACTTTCTGTGGTACACCATGATCAAGGAGCGCATGTCGGCGAGCAATCGCGACCTGGAACTCAGCACGGGCGAAGTCAAGAAACTTTCGGCGGGCCAGCATCTCTTGGCGGCGTCCGAGAGTGGAGCGATTACGGCGCTCATGACGAATCCGATCTGGGTGGTCAAGACACGCATGTTCACCACGCCCCAATCGACTGCCGCATCGACGGCAGCAGGCGCCGGCACAGCGGCTGCACGTGCGCCGCCCGAAGTGTACCGCGGGCTTTGGCACGGGCTTGTGTCGATCTACCGCACCGAAGGCTTGCGCGGATGGTACAAGGGTGCAGGACTGGCGCTCTTTGGTGTCTCGAACGGCGCGATCCAGTTCATGGCGTACGAGGAGCTCAAGAAGTGGCGCACCTCGGTCGCGGCTCGCAAGCAGCAGCGCAGCGAAGGCCATACACGGCCCGTGGATACGAGCATGATCAAGCTCTCGAATGCAGAGTACATTGTCATGTCGGGCGTGTCCAAGGTGGCGGCCATCCTGCTGACGTATCCGTACCAGGTGGTGCGGTCGCGCATCCAGAACCATGCCACCTCGCACATCTATCCGAACATCAGGACGTGCATGCGGCTCACGTACACGCACGAGGGCGTACGCGCCTTCTACAAGGGACTGGTGCCTAACTTGGTGCGCATTCTACCGGGCACGTGCGTCACCTTTGTGGTGTACGAAAACGTCTCGTGGGCGCTCAAGGGTCTGGCGAGGAGGAGGATTCAAAAGCAACAACTGCAGATTGCACCGGATACAGACGTTTCGCTCTAGCCACGGACACCAGCGCGGAATACGCCAAATGCAACAGAGATTCGATCTTAACTTTGCCCCACTGGCGCAGCGTGGGTCACAGCTTGTAGCCGGGCGAACGGAAAGGAGCGAGGTCGATCTCGGTTGTGCAGATGAGGGCGGTATCTTTGATGGCCGAGAGGCGGTAGTGTTGGTTGATGTGCTGGTATTCCGGGTCGATGGACATGTCGATGAAGTGGTTGATGGACGGATAGTGCACGAGGGTGCATTCGTTCCACCAGTCGTCCTTGCTTCGCTGCGGCTGACCCCTCGAGTCGGCAAGGCCTTGGGAGAGTGGGCTGATGACAACGCCTACAAGCTTGGCATTGCCGCCGCGTTTGCCGGCGACGGTGGCGAATCGACGACCGTATTCATGGTACGACTCTACGGCTCCGGGTGCGGTGTGGAAGTGGAGAAGGTTGAGCATGGAGACTGCGCCATGGTGCTTGACGTTGTGGTTGAGATGGCGAGCGAGGTCGAGGAGGGCGGGCGAGAGGCTGAGGTCCTGTCCGTCGCTTCGAGTATCGCGGGAGAAAGATGGCGGCGGAATGACGTCGTTGTTGTGGTCAAGTTTGACCTCGAGCAGTGGAGGTGGCGGCTGCACATCGCGCAGCTTTGCCGAGATGGTGTGGTAGTTGGTGACGATCTTAGAGGGGATACCGGCCACGACCGAGTAGTGCGCTCGGACGTCGTGTTCGAGATGCGTCGGCAGCACATGTGCGCTGGAACCGCTGGCGACAAGCAGCAGCGTCCAAGGGGTCGCATTGAGCAGCGTCGTGTCGATGCGTGTCGGACGGATGATGGGCGATTGCACACGGCTCACCGTCACAATGCCAAAGTTGACATCGTCCGGCTCCCCGCCAAACAGACGGTAGAGGAAGGAATCGATGCCAGAAGAGGATGCGTCATTGAGACGCACAAGATGCAATGCACACACTGGCATGTTGGTATGAGCTGTTGACGGCGAGGCGGGGATGGTGAGAGACGTTTTACAAGATGTCCCGCAAGGTGATGAGGCGCCTGCGGTTAGCTAGAACGCCGTGCGGTTGTGTGTAGCCGGAACGGCAATCACTCGGTCAAGTGGAAGCCGGCCATCTCCGATTGCGATTGTGATTCAGTTTGCCTCCCGATGTAGGCCAACGAGCTTAAAGCGTTGCTATCCAACGTCGGATGCCTCATTGGCGGGTGAGCAAGCGGGCGCCGGACCAGATCCGAAGCGCGCGGTGGGTCCATGCAGAGGGCTGTGAGGCACCCTGGAGAGTGACGGCCGGACGGCCCGACGGCCGGACTTTGTCCGAGGCCTCGGATTTTGGCCTTCCCCGCACCTGAATTTTGGAGCACACAGACCATCAGGCCGACGCTCCGTCACTTCCGAGAGACCCTGTAGTTCAGCCGCCAGCAGCCTCGTTCGCCTCTTGGCACGGTGGGCCGGGCAGGGCCAGAATGGAGCGGCCCACCACATTACAAGGCCTACATATACCCGCTCGGTCCACTGCATCGTTTCCCGTAGCACCCGCATTCCTATCCTCACCGCCTCAGCCGCGACGACACCACTCGGCATCGGAATCCACCGCCACTCGCCAAGCTCCCACACACTTCTCTATACCCGCCCGACCCGCCCGACACCGACC